GGATACTCAATCACATGACCTCCTTTACTTGAAAATATTCCTTTTGACTTTTGGAAAATTTACATGTCCGCTTTCTTGTAATAAAATTGATTATCTCATGTGGATATTAATTTAAGAATGATATTATGCACCTTTATATTTAGTTAACTGTGTTAAAACAGAAATATCTTTCTTTGAATGGAATACTGATGATAGAGATTTAGACAAACTTAATGTTAATGCTTAAACTATTTCTTCTGTGCTTTAAAATCTAAGGATTACATGTGTGTTTATATTTATACTACTGGTAAAGAGATTTGGGATAGACTCTGTATAACCTATGAAGAAATAACTGAAGTGAAATAACCGAAGTTAAATTTTTTGCTTCATGATTATGAACTCTTTTGCATAAAACCAAGTGAATCCATAAATGAAATGAATACTATGTTTACAAAAATCATCACATCCCTCCATGCGTTAGGTAAAGAATTATCAAATTCTAAAAAAGTAAATAAGATTCTGCATTGTTTACCTTCTTTATATGATGCCAAAATAACTGCTATTTTAGAATCCAAGGATTTAAATCTTTATTCTATTGATATCTTACTTAGATCTATAATCACCTATGAATAAAGCATAAGTCAAAGGCAATCTAGTTAAGGAGAAATAAAGAAGGAAAAAATGGTAGCCTTAAAGGCTAATGATTCAGTTAGTTCCTCTAATGGAGGAAAGGAAGAAATACAATCATCTGGGCTAATATAAGGGGCCCTTCATATACATAATGAGCTATCCACAAGAAAGTACATAACCATGTAATGAATGTGATTTTCAACAAGCAACTACAGAAGACTTGTTAATGCACAACATTCTACTTGCATAAAGCAACGAATGGCTTGTGGCACTTCTAATACACATCACCGGATCCGCAACATGCATAAAAGTATATAGAAGGCGTTCACAATTTTCTAAGTTGAGCCCTATACATTTTTCAACAACAACTCATCTTCAAGAAGCTACAAATAACCATAGTGCAATGTAGTACCACACCACGAAATCTGTAACATTGTACATGCAGATAAAAGGTGTCTATAGGTTTCTAAATAATATGTTGTGCATATTCAAATAGTTGTTATTCATACAGTTGATTTGCATCAAATACTTTAAAATGCCCTCCCACATGCACTATAAATAACAGAATGTGTCATTTAGCATTGTAAAATGCATTATGTTGTATTAGGGTTTCACATACAAATACAAAATGTATTGCGCACACATGCTCCACTACATACCAATACATCATGCAGGCATGGCTAATCAGCAAGTAAAAATGCAAAACACTGGCATATATGCATATATGTAAAATATACATGTATATATGTATATATGTTAACATATAGATAGAAGTATAAGTGCATATGTGAGCATGTAGATATGTTGTATACATTTACTATATTACATGCATACAATTATATAAATATACCGCACGAAATGTATGTAAAGTCATACACCAGTATAGGCCCCGATGAACATGTTATAACTATATATGTGACGTCTGAGGATGCTACACAGGTCAAAAAATAAACCTAAACTCAAGCCCAATCCTCCTATGTGAATAAATATGAGTCAATATTGCTCGAGCAATAAAAAAAATAAATGTTCATGACATCAAACAAGATATTTGTTTTATATATTCATATTAGGCCTTCAAGGCCTATTATAAGAAAAATTTATTAATAAAAGGCATAAAGCCAACAACAAACCTGATCCTCTGTCGACAAACTGATAAAGTTAACAAGATTCAACAAATAAAATGAAAAATTCTCATAAAAATCTTGATGATAGCCATATTGATAAAAAATATGAACCGGAGGAGACCACAGTTATCCAAAAATGACTCCCAAATTTCCAAATGCCTATGAAATTTTAAAATTCCAAAAAAATCATAGCCAAATATATTTAAAAATAAAATTAATTGTTTAAACACTTAAAGTAAAAATACCCATCCATCCTCCACAAACTAACAATCTAAACTCAAAAATGTATGGTCGAGAATATCACTCGAATTTATTCTCAAGTAGTCTCTTACCATTAAGGACATTGCACATGTCCTCTAACTGGTGGTTTCACCCCTAAATGGCACCCCAGATAAATAATTATGACCAGAACCGTCTCAACCGGGTAGTTTTGCAGCCAAATGACACCACTAAATTATGATCATGGTCAGAGCCCGCATGTTACGCAATGACTTCAAATCCTTTAGATATGAATCAATATGATATAATTGATAGGGCAAAAAGCCCTATGTTAGCTAAGGTAGATTCAGATTTGTTCCCTTAGATAAATATTTCCTCCAAGTTTATAAGGCACCATTTGACAAAATAACCCATGGCTGCCAATAAGGATTCTTCTATCAGGTTGCTGGTTCAACTACCTCATATGACTAAGTAGACCAGGGACACTGATGACTCGGGGCAATGAAACCATGGGATCTTGATCGAGTTCACTATCATTTGCACACCAACTTCTTTAAGTGCACAGTGGTGAATTTCTAATTTTAAATATTAAAATTTTAACTGCCAAATACATGCTGCTATTATACGCCAAATATCACGTTTCTCTACGCATCTATTTGACTATTAGCCTTAATTAAAAGTTCTCTCTCATTTATGGGAGGGTAATTAAATATAAGGGCTTATAAGAAACCTGAACCCATATCATAAAGTCCTTACAAAATGTGGGCAAAATCTTTGGGTAGTGACTTATCTACAAACCCAATCTTCCTTCTAAAAATTTTCCTCTGAACTTAAATATTTAAAACTCTCCTCAATGACTTGAAGAAAGAAAGGGGCCTGCAGAGAGGTCGGGTTGCGAATTTTCACAACCCACATCATACTAATTGATTATGCCGTTTTTCTATTCAAATATAAATATTTCTTTAACACATTTATTAAAATAAAACAAAAGATATTTTTTACTAACAAACAAGATGACTTTTTACTATTTACTTATCCACCTTTCCACAGAACCAGCCATTCTCCTTTTTCAAAACTCATCACAGCCACTCCTCTTCAACTACGAGAGCATCAACATCATAATATTCCAACAACTTCTCTGCCTTACTACAGGATGTGAACACTCCTGTGTGTGTGTGTAAACTGTAATAGTTATGGAATATGCATAATAAAAACTTTTATTTTCCCCTATTTTATCCTACCTTCTCTCTTTTCTGTAATTTCATTCAGCTGCTACAGGTTGAAAATTCTTTCATTGTTAAAAACTTTTATTTTCCTTTACATGTTGCAACCACTTGATTTTATTAATTCTCATCTCTCAAATAATGTTTACAAACTTCACAGGCCTATCTATAGGTTGAAACAAATACCTAGGCAGTGGTTTGACACCTCAAATTTTTTTCCCTCGATGGTTTAACATTTATACATTCATCAAATCTGACCCTTCCATACTCATTTGCACTCACAACAACATCAAAATATACTTGCTTCTATAAGTCGACAATAGTCTTATCACTGGCATTCATCCTGCTTTCATTTCAAGTATAATATCAAATCTTCAACAATTGCTTTCATTCAGAAATATTTGATTGATATCCTTCTTCCTTTGTATTGAAGTTGCATTTAATCCTAATGGCTACTTTCTACATCAATAGAACTATGCTCAATATCTCCTAAAGAAATTTGATTTATTGGATTGCAAACCTACTATCCATCTATTATATCTCAAATATGCTATTAAATATAATAGTGAACAACCCCTCCACAATTAAACTCTTTTTCGACACGTTTCTGACTTTTTACAATATTTAACAATTACTTGCTCTAATATTACTTTTGTCACCAATTAACTATGCTAACCCAGCATCAGGCCCTCAACAAATATTGGCAACAACTTAAATTTCTTCTCTTTTACATCAAAGGTACCACCCACATTGGACTACCAAAACCTAAAGATTATAAAATTAAGTTGTGTATTGCAATGATGCTAGGTGGATGAGTGACTTTACACTTAGTGACAAAATGCAAAGCAAAAATCTATGTGAAAAGGTTGGAGTAGCTCCAATGCCAGATAATATTAGATTTAGTCACATAAAACATCAACTTTTTGATGACCCATCAAGGATAGTAGATGTATTAGAGACTTAAAATCAGTCTATGTTAAGAAAGATGAAAGTAAGCCTAAAAAGAATTTAAATTAAAAAAAAATTGAAAATGACTTTTTTTTTATTATATTTAAATGAGAATTTAACTTTTAATAAGAAAAAAAAAAAAAAAAATCCATTAGGCAACCCCATGATAAAGACTTCGTGTTGTTGTCTATTTCTATCTTTTTCTACCTTCTCTATTTTCAACATTTTCGCTCATCTGCTACAAGAACCAAAATTCTTTCACTTATAAAGATGATCCAAGTGTTTAATGATTTAATATTTTGTATAATATAATTTCTATTATAACCTTTAAAATTCTCCTTATGGGAAAGTTGGATGCTACCAAATATTTCAAAAAGACATACAGGCTTCGAAACAGAAATATGAATCAGCTAAATACAATATATAAATTGCTAGACAAGAACTAAGTTGTGCAAAATACAAAATTTTGAAGAATTGATCCTACGCAAAATGAACTAATCAATTTAAGCTGATTCTCACAAATTATGATTCAATTTCTACTCCTTAAATTTGTAAAAAAAATATAATGAATCAGTATCATTGGAGCTGAAACAAACAATAATTATATAACAAATGTGCTTTTTGAAATTTTACCTCAGAATTAAATTTTCAAGTGCAACCTTACACTTTTTTTTTGGTAATATATAAAATTTTAGCTATTTTAAAATAATCTCATTTTACATTTGCAAATTAATTGTTTAAAACAAAAATATTTATAATTATGTAGTATAATTTATATTTATTCAATTTGGTTAATGATATTAATGAAATTGAATTATAAGAACTTAATTATTATTAAAGGGAAGGTAAAGAAAAATAGAAGCATTCTTCACTAAAAGACAAACAACGGTAAAATGGTTTTATTGGCAAATAAATTCTCTAATAAAAAACCATAATCATATGCATCATGATTGTACAAACAAGGACTGCATCAATATATGCAAATGAATGAAGGTTGTCTACTTACGGATAAATTATTCTGTGCGGAGACCGGACACAACACCGTCCGGAGATTAACCAGAATGTGCTACGTCAGCGGTACCAAGCCACGGTAACGAGTAGTACTGAGCCTCGGTACCGAGCACAGGGTGACTTAGAGCATTCTGATTGGTCTCCGGATGACATTTGGTGTCTGCACAGAATAATTAATCCTACTTACAAGAGCATTGCTGAGCTACTTAACCCTATTTACAATAGTATATTTATAACCTTAAGCAACAAACACTAATGCCAATCAATGGCTGGTGATTAGAATAAAGCATCAAACCCTCTTCCAATGATGTATTTAAACTAATATATGACTTTCTTTTCAGAAAATTCGAGGCGAAACAATCTGAAATCCTCGGTTTGCCATATAGAATGAGATCAAGATGCAGTTTATGTTTGAAAATACCAGGTAAAGTGGTGATCAGTTTCTCCCTTCTGTTTGCCTTTCTTCTTGTATCTCTTCAAGCTCCTCATCATCCCCCTGTTTTCCTGCTTGCTCCCTCCAATAAGCAACCATTTTCTTTAAATGGGCGATCTCCTTTGAAGATACATTCTTGGTTGGATTATTTTGTATACACTTTACTCTTGAAGCAAACCTGCATCATGTATGAAAACAATTGCTTTAATGATTTACATGCATTTTATAATGTATAATATTTAACAGCGTTTAGTTTGTAGAGATAGAACATTGTCTGATAGATAACGAAGTAAAAAACTATCAGAGAAGAAGTAGAAGTTCAAGACGAAGTAGAAGAAATAGGGTAGAGAAAGATAGCTCGCAAGCTAGATAACCCGCAGGCTATACATTCCGAATATTCATCACCAATCTCTCCCTTTTTTTCATAAAGAAATCAGTCCTAATTTATAGAAATAATAAGAAGGAAATATCATTTAACAGATCACATAAATGTGCCCCAAATCTGCCACTAAAAACCACCAAAAACAGCTCACATTTAAAGCCTCCTGCATAGGAATTAACAATGAGGAAAACGAGCAGCCAACAACATTCAAAACAACATGGGGAAAGATCAAACAGCGCTTAGGGAAGTCCAAACAACACTTTGGGAATTCCAAACAGCACTTTGCCCACATCAATTCTCCCCTGGTGGAGAAATCTTATCTCCTGATGAGAATGCCTTGATTAGAAAATAAGGATGACGACGCTGCAAACTTAGGTTGAATGACAAAGCTTCCTTGATATTCCAAATGCATTATATTTGATGGAAGATCTTCCTCTTGAATTGGAACTTCGGCATGTTGATTGATTTGACTATCCTTTTTTTCATTTTTAATTTTTTAAAAAAGAAAAAGACATAACCTACAACCTAAAGCTCTGATACCAAATTGATGTAACAAAATAATAGCACAAAAAATAAGATGCTAAGGTTGTAAACTCAAGACACTATAAGATTTCCTAAAACAAGACTTCCTTAGAATATAATCATAACAAACAAAATAAAAAAAGAACATAACAATGCTTACAACTTGTAATAGAAAAGGATAAAACACCTTACAATTTTAAATAAAAAAGGACACAACACAACTTCTAATCACGACACATTTACCTTGCAACTTACAAACATTTTAAGAGAAGAAAGATACAAATGGAATGAAAACCATGGAGAGGAGGTAGAAGTCCAAGACGAAGTAGAAGTAGGGAAGAGGAAAATAGCTTGCAAGCTAGATAACCCGTAGGTTATACATTCCAAATATTCATCACCAATCTCTCCGTTTTTTCATAAGGAAATCAGTCCTAATTTATAGTAGAAATAAGAAGGAAATATCATTTAATAGATCACATAAATGTGTCCCAAATCAGCTACTAAAAACCACCAAAACCGCCCACATTTAAAGCCTCCTTCATAGGAATCAACAATGAGGAAAACTAGCAGCCAACTACATTCAAAACAGCATGGGGAAAGACCAACAATAGTTAGGGAAGTTGTGGGCTCCGAAAATTCGGCCCCGGCCTCCCCGCCGCACTTGATTGTTTTTTTTTTATTTGGCGAGGAAGTTTTAACAGAATAAGTTCAGGGGTAAATTTTGGAAGGCAGATGGGTTTGTAGATAAGACAATACCCAGAGATTTTGCCCTCACTTTGCGAGGATTTTATAATCTGAGTTCTGGTTTCCTATAGGCGCAAGCCCCTATAGTTAATTACCCCTCCCGATCACGAGAGAGAACTTTCGATTAAGGCTAGTCGTCAATCAGATACGTAGAAATATGTATTATCTGGCATATAGTAGCAGCATTGATTTGGATTTGGAGATTGGATGGATTTGGAAATTGGAAAGGAGAGAGAATGGTCCAGACGAAATTAAAAATCGTCCAGGACGATGCGGGTCTCTAGAAAATTTTCGTCCTGACGAAATTAAATTATCGTCCGTGCGATTGGTCCTCCTGGAAAAATTTTCGTCCAGACGAAGTAAAGAATCGTCCAGGACGATCGGTCATCTGTGAAAAATTTCGTCCAGACGAATAAATTTTTGTCCAAATCGATTAACCGACTTAGGACAGTTTTCAGCAGTTTCTAGAACCGACCTTGTAATAAACCGTTCGTACTGGACGAACTAGTTCGTACAGGACGATCAGCTGTACGAAGACATTTCGTACACATATTCAAATAGGGTCGTTTCAGATGTTTAAGTAAAATCGTCCAGGAGATCCACGATCGTACGGGACGATCCATGCTACAGAATTGAATACTTGCAGTTTTTGGGCGGTTTTTCTTGTCTTTTGTATAAATATCCAATTAGACTGCCACCCAATCTTTTTGGTCATTTGATCTTCGTCGCTCCTGAGAGAGAGGTAACCAAGGAGAGAGTGGAAGAGAGCATTCAAGGGAGGATTCCTACACTGGAGCGAGAAGGCTTCACTTGGAGTTCAAAGGTAAGAGTCTCTACTTGTGAATTTGGATTACTTCACTCTTTTCCTTCTTCTAGATTTCTTGTGAGAAGATCTGTCAAGGAGATCCGGTTCTCTGCCGACACTTGGAGAGTGTGAACAGCCGAAGGGTTCTCTGCCCACATAGGAGAGTGTGAAAGGACGGAAGGGTTCTCTGCCACACTAGGAGAGTGTGAAAGGACGGACGGTTCTCCTGCCAACACTGGGATGAGTGTGAAAGGACGACCGGTTCTCTGCCAACACTGAAATTGTGTAAAAGGACGGACGGTTCTCTGCCGCGCACCGGGGAGTGGTGAAAAGAGTGTTGTAAAGGCTTCTCCGCTTGCTGTGGGTGCAAAGGAGAGTCACTATTGGTATTAGTGCAATACTCAGAGGGTGCCTCTGAGGAGTGTATGTAGGTCTGGTTATAGACCGAACACTATATAAATCTGGTGTCATTTACTTTACTGTTTTAGTTTCTTCCGCACTTTATATTTCAGTTTTAAAAAACTCTGTGGTGAAAATATTTTTCTTACAAAATTTAAAAGAATTTTATTTCGGTTCAATAATTTTCTAATAAGGGGATTTAAATTTTTTAAACTACCAATTCACCCCCTCCTCTCTGGTAGCCTTGGAACATTCACTTAGGCTTAACAACCATAATTACTAGACTCAACAGGTAGATCATGTGTCCTTAATCTTGTTGATGGTTGCTTGCAAATCAAATGATGATTGAATAATTGAGCATAAATAAATATTTCTATTCATTATAGCTCTTCTGATGTTGCTCACTAACACGTTACATCCTATGTATGATCGTAATGAATACTTTGGCATTGGTTAAAGAAAACCATGAATCATCATATTCATCAAGAGCCTTTCTAGTGAATAATACATTCACTATAAGTAGATTAGGGATGAACTAGCTCTGATCTTACATGAATCAATTGGTATGGTCCAAAAGCTTATATCATGAGTTTATAATCGAACCAAATTCCTTAGTCTTCTTTTATTGCTTACGAACGAACTTCATTTGCAAACTTCTTACTTTAATGATTCAATATGCATGATAAGTCTAATATATCACTTATCAACATCTTATTCTCCATTTAAGATGATCATTTTGCATATTAGAAATTATCATTCAAAAGTTCCATATCAAAGTTTGGAAAGGATGTACACATGGGTCCTTGTTTACTTGCACGAGATTTGAATGACGCAAATCTTTCTTAGTTAAGACTTGCATTCAAACAAAAGTGAAGATCCCATTAGAAAAAAAAATCCTTTCAAGAAATTATTCACCTCAATCACAATTCCATCCAACTTAGATCCATATTAAAGTTCATATGATTATAAAGCATTACATATTTAATTAAGCTTAAGTTCATATCATGTTCTGATCGAGTCCTCATTGTCCAAAGTTCACTTGGTTTCCAATCAAGTTCAAGTATGAACTTATTTCATTTAGAATCAATTATTTATTAATCATTTGCTTTATGTCCAAATACAAATCTTTTCATGTTCAAGTTCAAATGTCAGAGTTCTAGTCCAAATGCAGTTTAGGCTTAAGAAGAGCTATTCCCTTCATTCAAGTCCCACTACTGTCGGTATGAAGTTCAAGTTCTTCATCATTTGCGCATTTTTTTATTTGGATTCAAAGTTTATTTAAGTAGATTGAATCAAAATTCACAAGTCCGAGTCCACTGTCTATCAAATCAAAAGGTTCACAAGCTGAGTCCAAGTTCGATCGTATCCTTTGAGTTCAATAAGTCCAAGTGTAGCATTATGTTCACCTCGAAATTTCGGCACCTCCCGGCATCTCCCCGTTTAGGGAAAATACAAAAAACTGGGCCTTTCTCACCACGCTAGGAAAAGCGGTATGGTAGGGTTTCCCTCTTTCGAGACACTCCGGTGCGGCCGTATGTATTTTTGATCCCGCTCCACCCCCACCTACCCTAATGAAACGTCGTGTGGGTATTTGGTACAATTTGTAGAAAAGCAGTTATTTCCGCCGCAAGCGGGTACTTATGGGTATCCCCTAGCTTCTACGTACACATACGGCGACCGGTTTTTTAACCACATATCGCACCGGGCTTCCCATTCCACCCATGCTAAAGCGCAAACGCAATGTTACCTCCGCGGCGTTTTTCCGGTGGCGCTATGCACTTCGAACGAAGGCGCGAACCCAAATCTCTTTTAAAACGGCTGACTTACCCCACTTTCGTCGTCGCAAGCGTCGGGACACAACAGTCCTTCCACCACGCCTAAGAAACTGTGTATGGTGGTTCGTTTTAATCTCGACAGCATGGCGTTGAATCAGGTTCTTCTACGGAGTTTTTAGGGTTAGAACTTTAATACCTTGGCGCTAACGGGCGCTCTTGGCCGCGTGGATCGAGGGAAGGGAGAGGAAGCTTTGTATTCTTATTTTTGATCATTATAAATGTGTGTTCAATTTTGAAGAAAAGCAGTATTTCCCCGCAAGACGGTGACTTATGCTGTATCTCCGCTCCGTCGTCGTTACGCATCGCACGCGGGTTCCACATCCACCACGCTAGAGAAAAGCCATTGCTATAGGAGGTTTTCGGCTCGGCTATTGGAATCGAAGAAGGGATTTTAGGTGATATCCCACCTTTCGTCGGCAAGACGTCCAGGGTACGGCACGTCCTGCCTCCAGCGCTAGAAACTGTGTATAGGTGGTTAGTGTTTTCTCGACACATGCGCGTCTGAATATCAGGTTCTCGGATCGAGTTTAGGGTTTTAGAGAACTTTTTGACTCCCAGCGAGGTTCATTGGCACGTATGGATCGCGAGGAGAGGGAGAAAGCTAATTTGCATATTTCCTCTATCTCTTCGTCATATCTATACATTATTAAGTATTATAGTTAAATTAAAATTAATTAATTATAAAATCTAATGATAATGTATAATAATAATTTATTAATTAAGCTTAAAATAAAATATTATAGTTACATTAAGTTTAACTATAAAAGCATTGAACTATCATAAATCAAAATAATTGAATAGTTAACTCATAATAGTTAAAATTAATTATTATTAATTACTTAAAATTTAATCATAATTAAATTATAATAATTATAATTAAAATTTAATAATTATTAGTTATGAAATTAATATAATCAATTAAAATAATCTAGTCTTTAATTAAAATTTAATTTACATATAATCCAAAATAATTTATAAAATTATATTAATGATTTAAATT